GCCGACCGGCGCGGCTCCCTCCTCGGCGGGACGGGCCGTTTCCTCCTCCACGGGGTCGCCCGCCCGCTGCGTGGCCGGGCGCAGCGGATCCTGCGCTGGGCCGTTGGGCCGCTGGCAGCGGGCGCTCGGCTTTGGCCCCGTGGTTTTACCAACAATAAACTTTCCCGCCGTTGTCCCCTCATCGCTTACGCTATCGTTGGCAAACCCCTCGTGAGAGGCACGTAATGTGCTACCCGATCACCACCGAGGTGCCGGGCAGGGGCACCCATTTCCACCGACCTCGCAACGTGGCCTGTGTAGGCGTTCGGGGGGCCTAAGGGGTGCATCGAGCGCAGTGGGAAAAGATGCGGACCCCATCCTCAGCCCGCAAGAGATGACTGTATCCGAAGGCAGGCTCTGCGAGGTGCCGGGCAGGGGCACCCATTTCCACCGACCTCGCAACGTGGCCTGTGTAGGCGTTCGGGGGGCCTAAGGGGTGCATCGAGCGCAGTGGGAAAAGATGCGGACCCCATCCTCAGCCCGCAAGAGATGACTGTATCCGAAGGCAGGCTCTGGCAGAGCTAAGGGGTCTGAAACCATCTGGGAGCAGTGTGAGCCCTGTGCAGAAATCACCAAGGAATACCAAATATGGCCCTGTGCAGCCCTCGCAGAGGGGCCTGCAGGGGTCCGGGGGGCAGCAGGGAGGGTTTCTGTCACGCTAACGCCTGCAGGGATTCTTGGCTGTGGCACAGCACATAGCTTTGCTCTGGGTAAGGCTGTCATCAATGAGGGCAGAGCTGCTCCGGAGGGAGCGATGGTGCCCCAGCCACAGGCGGAGACCAATGCTATAAGTAAGGTGGCAGGGCAAGGTGGCCGCTCTCGAGGTGAAGAGGGGATTCATGCCTTTGCCCCAGGTCCCTGGAGTCCAGCTAAGGGCTGTCTCGGAATTAGAGCAGGCTGTAACCAGGTCACAAAATTAAAGGTGACTTTTCTAGGAAATACAGTTTCTTTGCTGCATCTCAGCACTGATCTGAACGTCAGTGTTGTGGGCAGGTCGTCAATGGATGTATCCCCAAATCAGATTTTCGACAGCAAAATACAGAAGCTCGAAAGAATTGGGTTGAGAGTCTTGCTTCTTTACAGCCTAAGTGTGCTTTTTCATTTCAGATGCATTATCCTTGCAAAACTTCAAGGAAAATACTGAATAGCTGTATATACCATACCTGCTGCTGAGACATCTACTGGGAGCAGGTTCCATATAAGCCCCACATTTTCTGCAATACAGTGTAATATTTGATAATTTCCTTCAATGGTGGGCATGAACAGCAGTTTCTCTCAAAGCCACGCATGGCTAAGTTTATCAGATGCTCACAATAGTATGTTCATCCGGTCTTCAGCTACACCGAATGTTTGCCAATTAACTGGCCTCATTAATTTGTAACTGCGGAACAAAACAGAATTCAGGCAAAGAGTTACTAGAGGCAAACTGCTAGCCGTGATGGGCGTTTGACGTTCATCAACATTCTGCTATGCAAACCAACATAACTGAGAGGACTCTCAAAGTTTTGTGAAATCAATGTAATTCCGTACGTCTAATCCTCAGCTAGTACAAAACTGTTCTCATGCCAATTTGCTCTGGAATGGGGACTCAGGATTGCTCAGGTGGTACACAGGATCTTGTCCAAAAGTGCGTAAACAGATTTGTACGACAGTTTGTTTAAAGGCAAAAAAGAGGTTTTCCCACTCTACCAATACTTCTGAAGCCTGGTTCTTTACTCTATTGCTAGACTCTTTGGCGTTTCGATTCCGTGGAAACCAATATATTCCACCATGCCAATAAACCTGGGTAAATATCATACTGAATTAATCATTAGAGCCCAATATTTATGCTAAGAGCCTTTTTACACAGGAAAGTTGATGAGCATAATTGTAACAGAATAATTTATGCTGGTATGGCTTTGCTGACGTAACATTCCGGGTAGATGTTTTAATTGGGTGTAATTATTCCATTTCCCTGTATAGATGAGTCCTATATAGATAAATCCCCTTTTACAGTTAACAGTCGAAGCAAATTTCATCTCATAATTACATTTACACCAAGTTTAAGGCGCTCTTAGGATGTGCAGGAAATATAATGGGGCCATAGTGTAATTGAGAGTGCAACCCTTAAAATCCCATTTGTGACAACTATAATCAAATTGTCATCTGCTATAATATTTTCATTTCTTCTCATTCCAAAACAACAAAAGGCATTAAGTCTGTTTAAAATAAAATGTTTTGAAGGTCTAGCACCAGCTTAGGTACATCGATTCATGCAGGCTAAGGAAGCAAATGCAGTTTGTCATATTTGAACAGAACTGTGCCCAGTCTGTAGGTAACATCTTCCAGTGCCAGATTCAGCACTGTTGTAATCAGGCATCCTGGGGACTTTGTGATACAAAAGGAAATTTGATTTCCTGATAATCAAGGCTAAATTTGGCTCCCCAATGCTTAGAACATTCCTGAAGGCATGATGCCCCAAACAATTAATCTTGCATAATACTGAATAAATGCGTATAGGACACACTGGCTCAGTTCTGGTAAATCCGTTGTTACTGGCGTATTTTTTTCCATAAAAAGGTGGTTTTCCACAGTTGGCAGCAGTCCTGTTCAAAAGCATCTTTGAGCTGCAGAAATACAAAAGACTGTACTTTATTTCCAGTCCGTATTTCCCTCTCTGGCCATTGTCCACCCACCTGCCCTTCCCCCCCGCCATGAAAAAAAAAAGCCCTTACCCTTAATTTAGACCGGGGTGTTTGGCAGGCGTTTACTTCTCTGTTCTTAACCCTTTTGGTCATTTGAAAACAAAGTCCTGAACCAGTGTGAAATTAACTTATATGCATAACATTTGAAGTGACGGCACAAATTCCCGCTGGAATGAAGGGCTATTCACTGCAGTGGGAATCGGCAAATAGACTTGTAGCAGAACAATGTGCTTTTCTGAAAACTCTCGCTTCCATTCGAACGGATGGGACGGGGCCTCCCTGGCGACGCTTGCGCACCACCACCCATTATGACCCTTTAAAATAAAACCACACCAAACCAACCCCAAACAAAACCTGCCCTTTTTCCACGCGCTTCCAGCGGGCTGAGATATTTAGCCTGTTATCACACAGAGTTTCTGCGGTTTGCTGACAGGTGGTTGTGTTTCTGCATCGTTCCTCCAGCCAAAGTCAGAATAGTTGTGTCTCTGGCCATGCCGCAGCAACACCGCAGCCAGAGTTACTATCTTCCGTGCTGTACGGAGAAAGGTGCCTGTCCAATTCCTTGCCTAGAAAGCCATGGAAAAGCATCTCTGTAGGCTGTGCGGCAGGCGTGATTGACAGCGGTTTCAGCAGGACCAAAGAACGTGGGCTGCATATTTATGTGCATGCGTCTCCTGGCCCAGCGGTGGACTCGGTGCTCTGATCGTCCGTGATTGTGTTTGGGAAAGGCTCAGACAGTTCCCCACAATGCACAGAGTTTGGCCTCTCGCTGGTAAATTATGCTTTTAATACTGTTGGATACACTGAGGAATTTTGGGGGGAAGGATGCTCCATAACCATGACTGTTATTAAGAAATGACTAAGATTAAGAATATGTTGTAAAGTTGGATTAGTCTCATGTTTCTCAGCTCTTTGCATACAGTATAATGCAAAATGATCTGGCTTGTCATCTCATAGAAAAATCTATCATAATATTTTGATTCAAATCATAAGCAAGCTTAGCCAAGAATAACATACATAAAGTCGCATGGTATATGATATTTTTAAAATCCATTTGCCCAGTACTTTGCTTATTAAAGATGACATACTTAAATCTTGTTTCAATCAAAGACTATCCCTTTAAGCAGAAATCTGAGTGACCGACTCCCTCTTCGTTGCAAAATACAATTAGAAAACTGTGGTTCTCTTGCACACAGAGTGGCTCTGCTCTCACATGTTTCTGCAAGAACCTTTACGTGTCTCAGAAAAGTCCCAAAGCTCATGCTTTTTTTCACAAAATAGTAATGGTTACTGACAACAATCACCCCCAACATTATGTTTCACACCCATGGTACATATCATCCAGTCTGCAATGCAACTGAGATTCCCGTTGTCTCAGCCAAGAGGTTTAAGACTCCCAGCCAACTAAGTAAATTCCTTATGCATTTCTGACAGACAAAAAATAATAGGTGAGGAAATGGTACGGTTTCCAGTTAGATCTCTCTGGTTGCCACTTACCTCATTGAGAAAGAGGACAGAAAACTTAAGGATTCCTCTCGGAAGAATATTTGCGAGTCAGACAATGCTTCCTCTGTTTTCTTTCTGCTCCGCTTCTCCTTGCTCTAGTCTCTTGCTCTCCTTCTGTATGCCTGTTTCCTTGCCTTTCTCTCTTTCTCAACTATTTAGGTATGCTTATATAGAATTGTGATATTATATACTAATAAATACAAAACACCCTTCGTTCATATGTATCTGTATGGACAAATGCACGGTTTGTGTATTTTGTTCTAAACCTACCACATTTCTTTCTAGGCACAAGCATTAGATACTTAAGATGAGCAAAAAGAGCACAGGAAGGCGAGAGAGAGAAAAGTGAAGGGAACGGGTGGAAAAGAGAGGAGAAAGAGAGAATGAGCGAGAGAGGGCTGTTACCACGACGTTTCAGAAGCAGGAGCGTAGTGGTACAGTTAGAAAGAGAGGAAGAAACCCAAAGGACCGTACCCTGATCTATAGTTGGGGTAGCAGAGGGAGGATGCCAAGTGTCGCTTCTCATGTCGCTCCCCCTGGGGCTGCTCCTTAGCCGTAACCATTAGCCAGAAGCCGAGGGTGCTGCCAGCCTGCTTGGGTGCCAATTGGACATCCCTATACTGTAGTCCCACTTCCCTGCCCTTGGCAGTGGTCTCTCAAGTGGCCAAAAAGACGCCCCCAGGCACACCTCCATGGTCTGGCTGATTTCCCCGCACAAGAGAGAGCCGCTGACCTGCCGCTTCATCCAGCCCCTGCGTGGTATAGTGGTGGGGGAGGGATAATTACCCAAGATAGTCCTGGTTCAGCTCTGTAAGAGGATTCTTGCTGTCCCGCTGGATGTTTCTCTCACAACTAAAGAAAACCGAAATGAATCTGCTTTTCTACAGGGTCAAAAAGAAGAAAGATGACTTCCCGACAAAAAATATTTATATCCCAATGAGGTCACAATTTTATAGTGCGTACCTATATTTTCATTGTTCCGATTCACTGACATGATCCCAGCCCCAGCAGGAGGTTAGTTCTTGATTCAAGGAAAAAGGAGTTTTAACATTTATTTTAATGGGAACCTTTATTCATTTTTAGTATCAGCACTGTTA